CCCCTGGAATTGGAGTTAAAGACAGTTGTGAGCTGCCATATGGGTGCTGGGAATTGAACCTGTGTCCTCTGGAAGAGCAGCCAGTGTTCTGAACCGCTGAGCCATCTCTCCAGCCCTCTTCAGGGCCTTTTTCAAAGCTGGTTTCCTGGCTCTGAGTCAGGCCAGAGAACAGAGGTAAGGCGGACAAAGGCAATGAGGCCCCAGAGGGCCTCCACCTTGCTCTGAGTTCCACAGCAGGGAAACTTGACTGACGCTCAGCCCCTGTGACTTGGGCCTGGGTCCCTAAAGTAATCAAGAAACCAAGTAACCCACAGACATAGCTTTGCTCGCCCCCCCAACCAGGGCTTATGAGAAGCAGGATCCTACATGGGTCACCCCAGGGTTACCTGCTGTGCCTACTGGCTTCATTGCCCACCCACGTTCCCCACTGCTCCCCAGAGCCCTGCAGCTCAGGCATACAAAAAGCCTTCCAGCCACCCCCTCAAAGGCAGGGAACAAGCCCTGAGCCTCCCCAGCCTTGTCTGGGGAGAGCTGCCCTCAGCCACTCCTTTCTCCAAGCAAGGAGGCCTCCACCCAAGCCCACTCCAATAGGTTGTTTTCCAGACTCAGGCCTGGCTCAGCCTCCAGGGCCTGCCAGTCACGTAGCCAAACTCGTTCCTCCTCTCTTTCTGCCCAGGTTGCTGAGCACAGCGGTTTCCTGCTTGGAGAGCGCACAATGGAGGCTGCCCCCAGGGACCCACCCTGGGGTGGCGCCAGCCCAGCAGAGTCTGACAGGAGAGGACTGCTGTGTGACCTTGGACAGGGCCACACCTTCTCTGGGCTTGGTTGTCTCTCCTGAGAAGTGAGGGGGTGAGAGACATTCAATAACAGTAGCTGCAAACTTTCCCTGAGTGCATGGCAGGTCTTTCAAGCCCTAGAGCTGAGACAGGACGTTAACTCGATTGGCCACCACCAGCTCTCTCTTAATTGCCATCCTATGTATGATGGGGGCGGGGCACGTGCACCACAGTGGTGGGTGGTGTGGAGTTCAGAGGACCACTTTGTGGAGTCTGTTCTTCCACCTTAGCTTGGTTCCAGCACTTTTTCCCATCCAGCCATCTCAATAGTCTACTTATTATTTATTCATTTAGTTAATTTTGAGATAGGATCTTGATTATCCCAGGGTAGACCCAAACTTGCTATGTTGTCAAGATTGACCTTGAACTTCTGATCTTTCTGCCTCCAGCTCCTTAGCACTGGGGTTATAGGTGTGCACCACCAGGTCCGGCATGTATAGGGCTGGGGATTGAACCCAGAACCTTCTGCATGCTATTCAATCACTCTACTACGTCCCCAGCCCGACTCTCCCTTTTTAGTTCAGCATCTCTGAGCTTCTTGTGTCTCTTATTCAGAAAAGTGTTTCCTGTTTGCTCTGCAGCACCCCCCCTCCTGGGGGGGGGAGGAGGCACCAGCCTGGGCTGGGGACACAAGAGGAAATAGGAGGTACAAGTGATCGGATGGCACTTGGGCCCCATGGTGGTGACAATGGGGACAGAGGCTGACAGTGAGAGGTGACAGAGGAAGAAGAGGGTCCAATAGTTGAAAATGGACTTCAGTTGGGGGCTGGAGAGATGGCCCAAAGGTTAAGAGCACTGGCTGCTCTTACAGAGAGCGCTCAGGTTCGATTCCCAGCACCCATATGGAAACTCACAGTGGTCAGTTACTTCAGTCCCATAAGAGGGATCTTATGCCCTCTTCTGGCCTCTGAAGGCAAGGCCCACACCTGGTACAAAAACACCCATACACTGGAGGTGGAAAAAAAAGACTTCAAAAGGAGAAGGCACCCGATATGGGCCCCAAATCACAGGATGTGTCCCCAGCCAGGGCATTTCTGAAGCTCTGAATCCATAGCCCTTCTGGATTCTGCTTTGGCCGCCTCTCCACCTGCTACCCTCCCGCAGCGCTACAACCTTCCAAGGCTTCCAAAGCATAACCCCAGATGGAGCCTCTCACTGGTGGGAGTGGGAGCAGGTGGGACTAGGCGGATGGTCTACGTGGACCTCCCTACACCCCTGACTGCATAATGAAGTCTGACTCAGCACAGGTAGTTCCGGATGCTCAGTAACAGTTTCTTCTGAGCTTGAAACATTGTATCTGGAGGGAAGCCCTTTAAATAACAAGGTGAACAACTCAAAATAGCTCCAGGAAGTCTCTGAAACTGACCAGATTCAGTAGCCTTGGCACTGCTAGAGTAAGCAATAAAAGCTGAGGGTCTCAGGTCTTGGAAAGCGGAGCTGCAAAGATTCTGAGACCAGAGAAGCTGCCAGGAAGAGGTTTAGAACAACTGAGCCACCTGGAAAGGACACTGCAACCTGTTGAGCTGCCTGGGGTCTCACTATAAAACCCTGGCTGGTCTAGAATTCTCTATGTGGATTAGACAGGCCTTGAACTTGCAGTAATTATGCCTCTGAATTGCTGGGATTACAGATATATGCCACTGCACCCAATAAGAATAGTAATTAAGCCGGGCGTTGGTGGCTCATGCCTTTAATCCCAGCACTCGGGAGGCAGAGGCAGGCGGATCTCTGTGAGTTTGAGGCCAGCCTGGTCTCCAGAGCAAGTGCCAGGATAGGCTCCAAAGCTACACAGAGAAACCCTGTCTCAAAACAAAACAAAAAAAAACAAAAAACAAAACAAAGAATTGTAATTAAAAATTTTTATTAATTTATTAGTTTGATGTGTATAGCGTTTTGCTTGCATGTGCACCATGTGTGTGCCTGATGCCCAAGGAGGCCAGCAAGGGTGTAAGAACCTCTGGATCTGGAGTTACAGATGGTTGTGTGCTGCCCTGTGAGTGCTGGGAACCAAACTCAGATTCAAGGCTAGAGCGAGGCAATGTTCCTAACTGTTAAGCCATCACTCCAGGCCCCAAGGTTTGTTCTCTTACCAGCCCCCACTGCCCGCCTGCCTGCCTGCCCGCCTGCCCGTGTGTGTGTGTGTGTGTGTGTGTGTGTGTGTGTGTGTGTGTGGGGTGTGTGTGTGTGTGGTTGTGTGTGTGTGAGTGTGTGCATGCGTGCGTGCGTGTGTGTGTGCGTGCGTGTGTGTGTGTGTGTGTGTGTGTGTGTGTGTGTGTGGGTGGGTGTGTGTGG